ATCTGTGATGGAAAGTCCTCTGGAAAATTACCCAACTCTATTCTAGGAATCTGAGATCAAGATGCCCAGGCTAACTTATCTTGGCTTCTATTAAACTACCTGCTTTATGGGGTGCAAAACCTCCCCCATGAAGCTGCCAAGCAAGATTACAGGATGTAGTTTTGCCTTAAAAAAGAAAAACAAAAAACCCTTGCTCTAAACACCCGGGCTACATTTGGGTCCCAAATACCTGAGTATAGTCCCAGCCAACTGGAATCAAGACATTCATTTGGTTATAAAGTATGTCTGAGTGGTCTTCTCTCGTGGACTCCCATAATAGTCTAAACAAGAGAAGGATTTAACTTACTGTTACAAACTTGAACCTGGAAGGAGCTAAGTAGAGACCATGAGAAGGAAACTGTTAAAAGGTGACTCTTCCATTTCTGCCTTCACTAATTTTTTAAAATGAGTTGAATAATTCACTTCCTCTACTAAAGATAAGAGGGCCTCCCTTCTTCCTTTCATCTTTTTTCTGTGATCTTGATATTTGTATTTCTTAAGTAAAATGAGATTTATGTTTCTATTGTTCAAACTGTTTTTCAAATCAACAGACCACAAAGACCTTCTGATAACTAGATCAGTGTGACTTGAAAAGCAGAGCTTTTTGAAACTGGCAAACCACAATGACTTCAAGAACTTTTGGCAATGTGCTTGTGCTAAATGCCAGCCACCAAAGGCCCACTTTTGTATTAGGCTCTGCTTGCTTACAAAGGTCATGAAAGACCTATAAAAGAGTCCCTCTGCTGCAGCTGAGGGCCACTTCTTCTACTCCCACGAAGAGCAAGCTGACTTGGCTGTAGAACTTTTTTGCCTTGCAACATTGCTGTCTCTGAGACTCCAACACTACAACAGAAACAGCTATCGATAGAAGTGAGGAAGAGGCAGACGTGGTGGCACGGTTGTGTCTCAGCACTCTGAGGTGGAGGCAGGAGGATCAGGAGTTCAAGACATATAATAATGATGACTAAATCAGCAATCATTCTAGCGGCGACAGGGAGCTCAGGAAGTATGTGAATGCTGCCCTGGGGCAGGTGCAGGAAGGGCTGTACACTTTCCAGGGAGGTTGGCAGTGGCTCTGCTTTCTTTGGAATGGACACAGCAGCTATTGCCTTGAGTAACTTCAAGGTGCTCTACTTAATGTATCACCCAGGCCAACCAGCAGGATTTTGACTCCACATTCTCTGTGAGCCTCTGCTTGCACAGGCAAAGGAGTCTCCTTCCTGCTATACAGTCCACTCCACCCTCTCAGGCCCACGAGGCTGACCTGCAGGAATATTGGAAGGTTACTGGGTGGCGAGTCTGTGCAGCTAGCTTCACGGAGTAGGGGGAGTGTTAGAAGCTGGGTGTTCCTAGCAACCTGGTCTTTGTTATGTAAAGCATTCCATCCATCGTGTCCAGGCTTGAGTCCTCCTGGGGACCACACACCATTTCTCCGGGCCTCTCTGTTCCTGTGCTAGATGTTTCCAACCTGGAGGTGAGCCTGGCATTGTCTTTGCTTCCCATAGCTTCTGCTTTGTAGCAGTCCACCACATGGCTTCTCTTCCAAAACATAAATGTGTAACCAAGCAGGAATATAGCAGGTTAGTATACATTCAACACAGACCCACTCACCACCTCTTCATGTCCTTGTCTTCAACGGAACAAGACCCTGCCAACGAGAACAAGAGGTCTTGTTCACATCTGTCTAGACTCTACTTGAGCCTAAATGCACCTCAAATCCTCAGCCAGCTGCTTCTGACCTGGGGTGGCCCAAACTCGTCAAGTCTTATGTCTGTCATGTGGCAAGTGGTGCTAGATTAAAAAAAAAAAGAATTAAAAATAAAAAAGGAAAAGGACAGGACTGCTCCTAGATATGGTGGAGGAGAAAGTTTATTGTAGATAAAAGGGAGAGCACAGCCAGAGGCAGACACAGCTTGGGGAGTCCAATGTAGACTCTGCCAATCCTCTTCAGAAAACATGCTCAGCCTACTCTACTAAAGAGAAAAAAAAAAGGACAATTTCAGAGAGATCTTTGTGTCAATTTAAACACATTAGTAATAACCTCAGAGTACCTCAAATGTGTCAGTGTTGCATTAAGGAAAAAAAAAAATCAAAGCACTTTGCCTTGGAGAAGCTTAACCAAGAGTGAGAATTCTCTACTTCTCCCTGTGTCTTCCATCTCTCTCCTGTCTGTAATCTGTTGTAAAGTCTGCTTGAATGCTGTCTTATGAATCTGTCTGCCTTGTCTGTCATGTATGTTTCTAAGGGCTTTGCTCTCTCTTTTATTGGGCAGAAGAGACAATATCACATGGAGAAAAAATGAGAGATATTTTACAGTTTTGCATAGGATTAAACATCACTGACTTCATCTGACCCAGGAACACTAAGAAAAGCAAGCGTTCACTTACCAATAACTGTATGCTCTTTCTAGCATTTATGGCAGGCACCTGGTGTACAAGGTTGCTTTCAACCTATTACCATTTAGTACCATAACATGCATACAAACATACAGATGCATTGATTAGAGGAAGAATATGTAATTTAAAATTAAAGCTATATATTAGCTTGGGTTATAAAGATGGTTGCCAAGGCAAATAAAGTTGGCTGTTAAATTGCTATCTAACTCAAAGGCAGGTTAAGCATAGCTGGGTGGTGGTAGCCCATGCCTTTAATCACAGCACTGAGGAGGCAGGTTAAACAGACTTGGCACACAGTAGGAAAGCAGTCTTAAGTGACCTCAGGGTATATTATTTGTTTGGCCATGAGGTCCAGCAGAAGTTCCAGCCTCTTAGAATGTAAGAGACATTTTCATAGTATGTCACCTCAGCCTTGAATTGTACCTAATGCAACAGCACTACGGGGTGTACAGGGGATTGTCTCCCAGCTGAATAACCTTGGTTATATACAGGGTGGGAATCTGAGGGTGGACTGCAAACGAAGGACTGTCCATGTACCAATTACTTACATCACAGCTCTCGCCAGCTAGAAGAGGCTCCCCCACCCATTTTGAGAACAGCTTCAAGGCCATCTAAATTTCAAGTCTGAGATGCTGCCTTTACCTAGAATGGTTGGGCTGAAGCAAGGCCTTCTGAGGCTTTCCAGATACTTATGGTCCTTGCAGCCAGGATGTTCTCAGAGATGTTGAGCACAGTCCACCTGGTTGACAGGAAATGCTGGCTGGCTGACAGTTCTCAGCTCTAGGCTGCCAGACTTGATGAAGAAGTCTATTCACTGCTATTGAGAAGCTTGAACTGTTGGTTTCAAGCAATTTCATTTATTCACATGGAGGGAGAGGGGAAGAGGGAGTCTAGGATAACCTATAATAAAGATTTAAAAGCTCAACACAAACTAACATTCACATCAGCACTGAACTGTTCTCAGTGTGCAACAGTGCCTAAATCCTGCCCAGTGCTAACAAAAGTTGAGTCGGTCCAATCTTACTTCAGCCATATCCTTAAAGTGCAATCCTAAACATTCTTTGAATTTGTCAGTAAAAACTGACAAAATGATGCCATTATGGGAATATATTGTACCTGTTCAGCCACACTTTGTAACCTAATAAGGTAGGAATCTGGCTGTTTTTAATGTATGTATATGAATATGTTCACATCATTGAGCACAGATAACCACAGATGCCAGAACAGGACGTTGATATTCTGGAGTTAACTAACTCCAGGTCCTGTGAATCACCTGACTTGGGTACCAGGATCCTAACTCAGGTTCTCTTCAAGCAAGCACTCTCTGGTTCTCTGGATGCTGGTTTAAAGGTGGAAAAGGACAGTGCAGGTAGACTGAAAATACATACCTTTATGTATTACGTGTTTTTCAGGCAAAAGGAGGACTGACCAACAATTGAACTCTCATTGTGAGTTGTTATCTCCTTCCCCAAGATACTTGCTTCATATTGGCACCCTTTCACAGAATCAAAGGTCTGAAGGCCCTATGGGGCCTCTATGGCAGTCTATGATGGTTACAGAATGAAGAAGGCCCAGATGCACCAACATTATACAGGCTGAACTTCCCTCCTCCACCAGCTTGCCCAGATGTGAGAATAGGTCTTGGTCAGCATCTTCACCTCAAATATGGGGACACTTTCACAGCTCTCCAGTCCTGGACAGAGACTGCTAGAGCAGTTTCTGACCTAATACACCCTGGAATTCTTTTTCGGTCTTTACTTCAACATATGCACTCAATAGTTCCAAGCTGTTTAAATAACTGGTATGGTTTTTTTTTGGCCTTTCAATAGATGCTGGCTAACACAATTTTGCCATTTATAGCACCATAAATATTAACTTAAGAGATGTGGTACTTGATACATACATACTAGTTTTTTTTCCCATTTGCCAGGAAAGTGGGATGGCTAACAAGCATCACTGTCCCAAGTTCCATGCCATCATTGGAATTATCTACCTTTTTTTTTGTTTTGGTTTTTGAGACAGGGTTTCTCTGTATAGCCCGGGCTGTCCTGGAACTCACTCTGTAGACCAGGCTGGCCTCGAACTCAGAAATCCACCTGCCTCTGCCTCCCAAGTGCTGGGATTAAAGGCGTGGCCACCACCGCCCTTATCTACCTTTTCTAGTTTCACTTTTTTTTTGGAGAGGGGGTAGGCAAGAGGCATTGAGAAGAGCTCACCATCTCCTAACGTGGAGGTAGTGCTGAGGAAACACAGAAAACTCTGTTCTCTTCAAACTGACACAGTCCATTGTCGCATTGCAGCTGCTTAACAATCTCCTCACCAACAGTCATTTTGTGTTATTCCATATTTGGCAGAATAATGCTGAGAATTTAAGAGATAAGGTAGGTCAGGTGTGGTGGTGCACACCTTTAATCCCAGCACATTATAAGACGACAGGAGGATCTTTATGAGTTTGAAGCCAGCCTGGTCTACAGAGCAAGTTCCAAGATGGGGGGGGAGGGAGGAGAGGAGGTAGTAGCTTACACGTGAGTGGCAGAGCTGATTTCTGTATAATAATAATATAGATTTCAGAGGCCATGATTAATTTTTGTTTATTTTTATATACTTTAACAGCTAAAAGAAGTCACCATAGTATCCTGTTAAATCATAACCTTAAGTTGTATCAATAATTAGAAAAACATCAATAATTAGAAAAACAAGTAAAGAATGTTTCCATTCTGATTACACTAGCATCCAATACCCAGAGAATATGGAGAAGTATTGCATACATCATCCCATTTCATAAGTTTACACTTTTATGTCATGTTTTTTGAATCCACAGAAAATTAACTCTACTATACATCAGGAATGGTTATGACAGACACCAGTCTCAGTGTCACACATGCATTTCATTACTGTCCCCACCACCACCCTATGAGGTTAAAACTCCATCCCACATATAGAATAATGAAACCCAGACCAGTGGAAGTGATGTGAGCACTGTGAATGTGCTTACAATTCATATAAATGGTGTATTATATACAGCGTCTGCAACTCTTCACGTAGCTTTCTCAGCTGGAGGATGTAAGTCTTCCACACTCTATAACTGTCCCCTTTTGTCCTTCTTTGTAGTTGCTGCAACAGGATCTTGTCATTCTTTATCCGCAGGTGGCTCTGAACTTTTGGTCCTCTTGCTTTGACATCCCACACTAGGGTTACAGTGTGTACCACCACACTGGGCTATAATTATATTCTTTCTTAAGTACCAAGCATCTCCTCCATTGTCTGTTCTGCTAATGGCAGACAGGATTCTGCCAGTCCCACTATGTAAACACTTGTAGTGAGTTGACTCGTGTTCATCACTCTTCACACAGGTCCAGGAAGGGACCCACTGGATAGAATACACAGTTTTATAAGACTTTCCAAGTTGCCTGGCAACACGTCTTTATTTCCATTTACAAGGGGGTCTGAACCCCAGTTATTCCACCTATTTCATACTTAAGCTTTCAATTTCTCTAAGAGATTACTAAGAAAGTCCACATGGTTTCATCTCTGCACACTGGTTTGATATCCATCAGTAAGGATGTAACTGATCACACTAGCCAGGTGAGTAAGAGGCCATCCAATATATCCAGTACTCCATAACGGCCTCAGCCCATCTGTCTAGCCCATCTGTCTAGCCCATCCGCAACTTCAGTTCCTCAGGCAGTGGAGAGAAAGAAGGCTGCTTTCCAGGCCGAGTTCAAGTATAAGATTAGATACGGTTGCCAAGACGATAAACTGTCAACCGGCACTCTACCACTCAAAACCATCAATAATTGGGCTCATACCTAGCAGCTGTGGACTTTTGAGTACGACTTTGATTCAATACTTGACTCAAGGCCTGTTTTGTAAAGCACCCCCCAACCTGTCTGATCAAGACCCACTTAAAACAAAGTTCTACTCCTGACTTGGCAGAACTAGATTCTCTCTGAGAGGCTATTTTAAAATACATATTTTTTATATATATACCCATGCTAGTTTTAAAATGTACTTTGTATGAGTGTTTTGTTTGCATGTCTGTAAGCCACATGCATGCCTGGTGCACATATAACTCAGGAGACGGCATGGGATTCTCTGGCACTGTAGATGTTTGTGAGCTGCCATGTGTATGCTAGAAACTGAACCCAGGCAAGAGCAACACAAGTACTGCACAGACTCATTTTTCCAGATTGGAGAAGCAGCATATTTTGTTGGTTTGATTGTTTTGCAAAATCTGTCAACATAAGCACCCTAGCACAGCTTTCCCAAGTGCTTGGTCAGGCTGCAGTGACAAGCATAACTGGGAACCCAGGTTACACTGGCAGTTAAGAGTCCTGAAGAGATGGGAACAGGAGACATTAAAGGCCAAAGTTCCAGGATAATCATGACTATGAACAAAGGACTATACCAGAGACATCATTATATCTAATGTGTAAACAATACCTCTGTAAATAAAGCTTGGTCCCAGACCTCACTTCCAGTCCATTCTTCAGGCAGCTCTACTCTACCCAAGGGACTCTATACTACCCCTAAAGTTACCAGACAAGACCCCACCTTCTCTAGCTTGTATTTTTTCCCAATAGAGCAACATGGCTCACTCCCCAATCCAATTTCTTTAGCTTTTTTAGTCAATTAAGGATTTTGTTTGTTGGGTTTTTTTTTGGGGGAGGGGGGAATTGTTGTTTTAGTTTTTTTATTTTTTTGAGATAAGGTTTCTCTATGTAGCCCTGTCTGTCTGTCTTGGAACTCCTAGAGATGCCACTGTCTCCCAACACCTGGTCCCACTTAGTTTCACTCTGTCAGCAACACTACTTCCTGGACAGCTTGTTTAACATTACAATCCACATCCTAACCAGATTCCTTGCCACTCTTCTCTGTCTCAACACATATCACCATCCAGAATATGATCTAACTCATTTAGTGACGTATAGATCCAAAAACAGCAGGGTTTTGTCTGTTCTTGCCACTGGCACATGGGGAATGCTCTTGTATCTCAGCTGAATAATGGATCAATGCTGCCTGTCTAGATCAAGCAATGGAACCCAGCACCCTGTCCTTTTCACTTGCCACTGAGACTACTTTAGAACCACAGTTAATAACAAAATATCAATTATAAACTGAAGCCGTAACTAGAGGAGACATCTGAGAATATAAGTTCTTGGTTTTAAAGTCAATAGAACAGGCACCAACACAAGCCGACCCTAAAGACTGAGGGTCTAACTGGGCCCTTCCCAACAGACACAGCTTACTAGGCTACAGACATGCTTTCCAATCACAAACAGCAAGAACTAGCTAAGGAGACCTGGGGTCAGAGTCCTGGGCTAAGCTGAGGGCCAGGACCTCTACAGGACCCCCGGGAACACTTCGTTCATTCCTAGCATGACTCTTCAGCAGAAGACTGCGAAGACTGAGAAGCCCCCGAGTTTTGAAATCATCAAGATTCAACACCAGGGACATCCAAGCCAGAAAGGACTGGGCCTTTACAAAGGTTTTCCCCAGTGCCTACAAATAAAGTTCTCTAGAAATGTAACCAGGAACTATTCCCCACCCCCACTGTCATCAAAGACCCCAGGCTAATTTCTAACATGGTTCTTCACATGCCGAGTCAAATTGGAAGACCACCTGAAGGTCTTCTCACACACTGGGCATTTGAAGGGCCTCTCTTTTGAGTGACATCTCTTGTGGCTAGTGAGATGTGAATGCTTCCTAAATGTTTTCCCACAAGTGTTGCACTTGTGGCAGGCTTTCTTCTTAGTGGACACATTCTGGAATGGAATGGACTTGGAACTCTCATCACACTCTTTATGGGGCTTTCCACTCAGTCCTAATTCCTGAATATTTAACCTTCCGTCCTGACAGTAAGATAAGCCAGGCTTATCTACATGTAGGCCATATTCAGACTGCAGTGATGTGCTATGTTTTCTCTGGTCAACAAAGTCTTTATCATGCCACTGAGATTGAAAAGACTGCTCTGTAGTGTGGATCCTCTGATGATTAACAAGTCGATAGTTTCTATCAAAAGATTTTTCACAGAAGTTGCACTTAAAGCGTCTCTCTCCACTGTGTATTCCCTTATGATCTAAAAGGCTTCTTTTACGTGTAAAGGTTTTCCCACATTCTTGACACCAAAAGGGCTTCTGATCAATGAGGAATTTTGACTGCAGATTTGAAGTCTCTTTACTTTCATGATACTCATACCGCTTGTGCAAAAAGTGTTTTCTCTCATGTCTGGAGAGATTGGAACTCCATCGGAAGGCTTTTTCACACTCCCTACACTTATAGGGCTTCTCTCTAGTGTGAATTCTCTCATGAATGAGAAGAAAGGAGTGATTATGAAAGACTTTGCCACAGTATTTACATTTATTAGGCTCCTCTGTGTTACGACTATGCTGAGGAATGGGAAACACTGTACCCTGACTAAAAGGTAGGTGGCCAGGTTCAGGTTTTATTTTAACAGCATGTTGCTTTCGCTTCATATGAATAATATAAGATGACCTATAGGTAAATGTTTTCCTACACCCACTACACTGGTATGGTTTCTCCCCTGTATGAATCCTCTGGTGCTCAATGAGTGATTTCTTTTGAGTAAAAGCTTTCCCACAATTCTGACATGGAAAAGTTTTCTCTATAGTAGAGATAATCTGAGACTGACTGTAATTCTGCTTGAAGTCTTCTCGGTATTTCTCTTGTTTATAGACCTCTTTGTGATGTAACTTCATATGACGATTAAAGTTTGACTTCCACCGAAAGGTTTTCCTACATCTGGTACATTTATAAGGTTTCTCCTTCGTGTGAATCCTTTGGTGTGCAAGAGCATAGGACTTACAGGAGAAGTTTTTTCCACATTGGTTACAGTGAAAGTATTTCTCCTCATCCTGGTCTGTCAAATGAAGACTGACATTCAATCTGTAGGTGAGAGCATTTTTGTACTTACTGGATTCATATTTCTGTTTAGTATGGGTTTTCTGGTGTAGACGGTAGGCAGACAAACGTTGGAAAGCTTTCTCACATAAACTGCATTTGTAAGGTTTCACTCCAGTGTGAATTTTCTCATGACGTATACAGTTTGAACGCCACCTGAAGGCTTTCTCGCACACCTTGCATTTGAACAGGTTTCCTTGACTACGACATCTCTGATGATATTCAAAATGGGAACAGGAGCTCTTCCTTAAGGTCTCCCCACACCTGTCCTTTTTACTGTCTTTCAGTCCTGTATGCTGATACACACCAAACCTCTCAACTCTGTCTCTGAGCCCTTCCCCATATTTATTATTATAACGGTGTGAACTTTTTCTGAAGTTTGTGTTATAGCCATGTTTAAAGGATAGCTTGTTCCTAGAAACACTCACACACTTAACATGTTTTAACTCAAGAATATCATTGGTTCTCAGTACTTCCGATTCTCTTCCTGTCCTTTGACTAATGTCAGTTCCTTCCTTCATCTCTTTCATTTGTATGGAGTCTCCACAGGACTTCTGAAGCCTGTTCCTCTGTTTAAAAGATTCTTTAAGCTCTGTTTCCTCAGAAGCACTTGTCTCCGAACGTACTGATGGTTTTACACGGGTTTCTGTGTATTCTGAAGGTTTCTGTTTCAAGATGAATTTGCTTGACTTATTTTGAAGCTTACCTCCTGGGGGGAAGAAAAGAAACAAAAATACACATATACACAAGCACCCACACAACACAAGAAAGTGTATTTTTCTTTCATATTTGGAACTGGAAATGGCATCAAGGAACTATAAATAAGATCCTTGGTACCAAGAATTTTGCCTGACTGTCATTACCTTTATACAAAACAGTCAAGGATAAGACAAAGAAAGAGTATCTCATATAACAGGAAAGGGAGGAGGAAGGGCCAGATACAGCAGGGAGGGACACAGAATCAAATCTAGCAGGGCAATAAACAGACCTAAAGAAGAATATTAATAGCAAGACAATAGATAAAAATTATGGCACAGGAGCACCACATAAAAGTCCCCAAAAGCAGCCGGGCGGTGGTGGCGCACGCCTTTGATCCCAGCACTTGGGAGGCAGAGGCAGGCGGATTTCTGAGTTCGAGGCCAGCCTGGTCTACAGAGTGAGTTCCAGGACAGCCAGGGCTACACAGAGAAACCCTGTCTCGAAAAACCAACAAAAAAAGAAAAAGAAAAAAAAAAGTCGCCAAAAGCCAAGACCTGGTGTTTCAAGCAGGGCCTTGCTGGAAAAACTAGATCTAAGCTCACCATAGAAGGAAGAATCAAATGAGGAGTCAGAGCTAGGCTGGGATGGAGGAACACAGGTAATCAGAGTCAGTGCAGGCACAGAAATGAGAGCATTGGAAAAGTGCAAAAGAGACCAGGAAGCCCTGCGATGAGCAAGAGCTGACACTGAGATGCTAGGGAAGGGTCAAGGCTGGAAAGAAATGGCCTAGTACAAGTCAAGCAGGATGTGGCCCAGCTCCCCTCAGTAACTGAGCAAATAAGGGACTAAGTCCCTCATGATCTATTGGACCATATGAAAGGAAAGGGCAAATGTAAGAGGGGCACGGTATGGTAAGTGTGACAGACTCACCTTCTGGCACAGCACTGAGACCCCTCTTAAACTGAACTGTGCAGATATTCACGCCCCATGGCTTCCTTGCTTCTAGCCAGGAGATCAGAGCAGGTTTGGAAGAGGAGCCCACTGCAGAAAAGCAATGTAATGTGAGGTAAAACAGGCCACACACAACTACTTTCTAGGACCTACAGTCCTGGCAGAAAGGAGAGAAGGCCAGTAAGACAGAAATGCAAGAAACTAGGACAGAATGCCTGGCTGGCCATTTGTGACAGCCCTAAGACAGTGGTTCTCAACCTTCCTAATGCTGAAACCCAGTCCTCATGTTGTGCTGACCTCTAACCATAAAATTATTTTCACTACTACTTCATAACTGTAATTCTACTACTGTCATGAATCATAATGTAAATATTTTTAGAGATACATATTTGCCAAATGGGTTGTGACCCACACATTTAGAACTGCTGCTCTAAGTAGAGATGAGAGGCTGAGAAAAGTCACAGGCAAAGGTGCTTCAAGAATTCTCCAGAGTGGAACTGGAGAGATGCCTCATCAGGTAAAGAGCACTGGCTACTTCTCCAAAGGATGTGGCTCAATTCTTAGCATCCACATGATGGCTCACAACCATCTGTAACTCAAGCTCCAAGGAATCTGATGCTCTCTGACCTCCTGAGCATTCTATGCAGGTGGTACACAGACACCATGCAGGCAAAACACCCACACACATAAAATAAACTGTGTAATGCCAGTGATAACGATGTTCTCCAGAGGTGAGAAGCATACAACTACTCAGCTAACTACATCAGTTAGCAATGTCTGGGTGTCTAAATGGACTAGGAACTGGAGACAGATTCAGTCTTCTCAATAACCTCACATGACAGATATTACCTCCTCCATTATTGAAGGACACTTTAGTAATAGATTACGTAATAAGCTTGGTGGCTATAGAAACAAAATCTACAGCAAGGCCCCTTTCTATACATTGTAATAAAAAAAGGGGAGGCCAGTGAAGATGGCTCAGTGGGTAAAGGCACCTGCCACCAAGCTTAGCTAGAGTTTGACTCATAGGATCCACATGGTAAAAAGGACAGAAACTATTCTCACTAGCTGTCTTCTGGCTGTATGAGCCACTGCATGCAAGCACCTACATGCATACATATCCATGCACATAAATAAATATTTTTTTAAGATTAAAAAAGGAGAAAAAACAAAAGTGAAAGAAGCTAGGGATACTGAAGACTCACCCACAAAAACGACATTCCCATAGTTCTCCAGGATGACATCCCAATAAAGTAAAGACTCACCCACAGAAACGACATTCCCATAATTCTCCAGGATGACCTCCCGATAAAGATTGCGCTGAGCTGAGTTCAAACATCCCCACTCTTCTTGAGAGAATGTCACCACCACATCCTGGAAAGTCAAAACTTCCTGAAAAAATAAAGAACTATGACTTAGAGCTGACTCACAGGGTCAAGAGGGTCATGGGCCTGACACAGAGGTAACACTTGGTAAGTGTGGCAAAGGTGAAAGGCCATCATCCAGAAGAAAGCTCTGGACGTTGACTATAAAGCTAAATGACAACTCAGGATGAAGAGAGCTGCACTAGCCATCAGGCAGCCATGCATGTGACACCAGGAAAGACCCAAAGCCCTGGGGCTCACCTGCAGCTTGTGACCAAAGGCTTGCTGGCTGTTACCTGGTATTTTATGCCCTCTTCTATCTGGAAATAGTCAGACACCGAGACAGCAGGAGGATCTGAAGGAGAAAAGAGCCATGAGAGAGTTGTCCAGCTCTGAAAAACCAAGAAGCCCACTCTCCTCACTCCTAGAGGATTCCTGGACCTACAAGCAGATTGTTCTTCAAGATACATAGACATATCCTCAGTGTCTGCTGGGGCCCAGGGAAGGGAGCGTGGAATGGAAGAAGCCAACCAGACATGAATCACAGAAGCGTTCAAGAGAACCAGAGCTAGATGACAAAAGACTCTTGTGAGAGACTAGATGATAACACAGCAGTACAGGAGACATAAGAGGTATGACATAAATGAGAGACTAGATGATAACACAGCAGTACAGGAGACATAAGAGGTATGACATAAAGTTAGAGTCTAGGCAGTCAGTACCAGCTTGTTCAGCCGGGAAGTCACAAACTCCTATTCCACGTGGCGTCTCCAAGTGGTCCTCGAGAGCAGAACTGTTCCTGAGATGTGATGCAGGGGAACATATCTGTGCGGGCTGCAGAGCGCCAGTGCCTATCCAATGCACATCTGGATTCTGAGTAAGGCATGGGTCCTGGCAAGAAGAAAATGGCAATGAGAAAGTTTCTATAGGAATCAGAAAGCAAATTCAGAGACTATTCCCATGAGGCAATCTATAAAGGTTTAGGCCACCAGGCCCTCTAAACACTTCCTGGCAGAAGAGACCCAGAGAAAAAGGTGACAGAGAAACGTTCCACCTCTTGGCCTCCCTGCACCAGGGAGAGTTCAACAGGTTCCCACTTAATATAACATGAGGATGCACTGGGCAAGTCAGAAATAGCAACCCTCACATGCCGCAATGAACCCTATCCACTAGCTGCTACCTGACTCCGGGTCTACAGATGACAGATGGAGTAAAGGGAGCACTAGCTCGCAGCAGAGATCCAGACACGGATACTGAAATGTACAGTGACCACAGAGAACCCCACACAACAGTATCACCACTAGAGAGACAATATTAATTTTAAGGGCCAACCAGGAATCAAACCACAAAGAAAACCTCTCCTTCTATGCTCATCCAAGCAGAGAACAGGAAGGAGGGCATTGCCATTGGACTTCAAACAGCTTTGTCTCTGAGACACGGCTTCCCTAATGTAGAAATGAGTGCAGAAGGCTTCAGATAATGAACTTAGAGGAGTCTTCCTGGCACAGTGGCTGACACTTTTTTTGTGAACAAGCCTTAGACTGAGGCTACTGAACATATGACAGACATCTAGACCTAAATAAACTAGTCATAACCAAGCCATATTCTTATGTTCTGTCTTATGTCATTTTACAAATTACTATGACATCCCTGTGCACATCTGTTTTGGTAAAAATGATAAATGTACTTTTAGGTTTTTAAAAAGGCACATTTTAAAACAAGCATTACTTATGCTGACGTTACCATTTACCACTGATAGACTGTGATCTAATCTTACTCAATCTAATTTTTGTAACAAATTTGAGAGATAAATTCAGAAATATTAGTAATTTTCAACATATGAATTATGCATATATAGGCTCATGTTTTTATATAAATAAAATCTCAAAAACCTAAAAAAAATGATAAATGCTTTTTGAAAAAACTCAAAAGGTACCAGATGCGGTGGCACAAACCTTTAATCCCAGCACTCAGGAGACATGTAGATCTTTGTTGGTTCAAGGCCAGAGCAATATAGAGAGACCCCGTTTCAAAACAAAACAAAAACCTCAAAAGGCAGAGGATTAAAAAGTAGGAAGTAACGTCACCACTTTACTGTCAGGCTGGTCCACAGCTCTGCTTCTCTATACTAGGAGTTAGGGCCAGACACATGATAAAGCATTCAAATGGCTACTGGACAAATCCTCATAATTATACCATTTTTGCATTTCTTTCTCAATAAACTGACTGAAAGGTTAACTCTGTCTTTCTGAGCAAAGTGCCAGTAACTCAAAACAAGCAATCCCAGGAAGACTCCCTAGGGGGCAGCACTATTTGAAAGGAGTAAATGGATTAGGAGGTATGACCTTCTTGGAAGAAGGTTTTTATGGGGGTGGGCTTTGAGGTTTCAAAAGCCCACATCAGGCTCAGTCTCTCTCTGCCTATGAATCAGGATGTAGTTCTCATCTATTGCTCCAGCACCTGCCTGCAGGCTACTATATTCCCCACTGTTTGTATATGCTCAGCCCAGGGAGTGGCACTATTAGAAGGTGTGTCCTTGTTGGAGTGGGTGTGTCACTGTGGGTGTGTGGGCTTTAAGACCCTCATCCTAGCTGCTTGGAAGTCAGTATTCTACTAGCAGCCTTCAGATGAGGATGTAGGACTCTCAGCTCCTCCTGCACCATGCCTGCCTGGATGCTGCCTTGTTCCTGCCTTTATGATAATGGACTGAACCTCTGAACCTGTTAAGTCAGCCTCAATGAAATGTTGCTTTTTATAAGAGCTGCCTTGGTCATGGTGTCTGTTCACAGCAGTAAACCCTAACTAAGACACCCACCATGAATGATAATGGACTAAACCTCTCAAAGTCAAAGAACCCAGCCGGTTCCATCCGGGCCCTCACCAAGACTCTGAGATGGCAGATAGATGCAAGCAAGGACAAGGTTTATTGATACAGTGTACTGGGGGCCCCCTGCACACAGTCTAGAGGAACCCTGAGCTCAAGCTAAGAGCATTTTTTATACAGTTTTCACAGGGTTCACAAGGACAGTTTTATAATCACCTCTTAAACAACGTTAACCACAAAGGCTGGCCACAAACAGCCACTCCCACGACGGTTTCCTGGCAACTCATATTTGCACATTATCTTGTGACAAGGAGTGTTAGCTAAGTCTATCTTACCATAGCTCCTGCTTACCCAGGTTTATTGTGCAAAAGGCCCAGCTTCCTAATAATCTTTTAATTCTCTTATCTTGAGCCCTTCTCCTGGAACGTGTTTGTAAGTCTTTGGAATGCGCTTCTCCCAAACCCTGTCTCTGGAGAAGTTAATTTTTAAGTTTAGGCTGAGACCTGAGATTCCTTCAAAAGTATAACCAAGCCCCAGTTAAATACTTTCCTTTATAAAAGCTGCCATGGTCATGCATCTCTTCACAGCACTAGAATAGTGACAATACAGGATCTTTGCAAAAATTAGCCTAACTTCCTCAATTTTGCTAGTTGGGTAGTTTGGCATTCATAACTATCTACTTAGTTTACAGCTGCAAAAAGGAAACCTTGGGAATTTTCCAACCAGAATGTGGTTTTCCTGCTTAAATATAAACCCCAAGAAAGGCTCAGGGGTACACTTAGAGGCCCACATACCCACATGTAGTCACTAGCCAGCTAAAATAAAGACTTTCAATTACACAGACTGTCTCTGAGTGGTCTTCCCTGGTGGGAGCCACACAGCAATGTGTCTAAGAATACTGAAGCTGTTGGACAAAGCTTAAAGTTGAGGCCTTCCAATATTCCAGCCCAGAGATGCCCCTAACTCTTGTGCCTACTCCCGCTCCTATATCCTCAAAAACCTTCAGAAAAGGAAACATGGCTCACATAGACTGTTCTTTTGTGTTCTTCCATTCAGATACCACGATTCCTGACTCCTTTCAGTTCCCCACAGCCCCTATTGCTCTACAAGGCTATGGCTAGTATCAAGCAAAATCAGATCTTATGTGGAGATAGACATTCTATGACATAAACACATATCCAAAAAGTAACTCTATGATATATCAATCAATACCTGCTGATCCTATTTTGAGGTGGTCGTCATCTGTAAAATGGGAGGAACACCTTGCTAAAGGGTCCATGATCAAAGTCCAGTTCTCGGCTGCTCAGGTATCAAGAGAATTAACAAGGGGAGGTGTAGGAATTTGGTTAAACTTAAAAATTAACTGCCCCAGGACACATCCCAGGAGGCGAACATTCTTTAGTTAGAGGACACCTGCCGGACTAACATTCAGAGGAGGAAGGAAGAAGCTGATTAATATTTCTCAGACCACAGGGAAGGGAACCCACCTTTGGATGAGAAAGGTCCAGAGCACTGAAGACACATTCCGCAGGACGGACCAACCCTTGCCACTTACAGACAAGGGAGGTCCCTGCCACCCCATTGCTCAAAGTCCAATCAGTTTAAAAGTCACATTGTTCCGCCAATCATATTGTGCCTAGTCACTGTTTCTCTAGTCCACCCTTAAACTGTATAAAAACTACTCTTGGCTTTGGCTCGAGGTTCTTCTTGCCTTCGTGCTAGAGAACCCCAGTGCACTGGTTGCTATTATCATTAAACCTCAGGTTTTTGCTGCGAATCCACTGTTCGTGTGTGTTTCTGCGGAGTGCGTCCCCTGGATTGGATCTTAGAGTAAAACAGAGGCTCCCCTACACTTCTCAAGCTCACAGTTCAGAGGACCGTCTCATTTTTAAAAAGGCAGGCAGAACTTACTGTGTACCACCTACCTTCAGTGGTGTTCCGTCAGGATCCCTCTGCAGCTCTTCTAGCAGGGCCACAACCTCTGCGCCACTCTCAGGGCAATGGAGTTGCACCCATGTCCGGAGCTCTCCAGGCAGGATGCTCAAGAATTGCTCCAACACCAACAATTCTAACATCTGTGCTTTGGAAAGAACATCAGGTCTCATCCACCAGCGGCAGAGCTCCTGGAGCCGGCTCAGAGTTTCTAAGGGCCCAGAAGATTCATGATAGCGAAGCTGTCTAAAGAGCTGACGGAATAGCTCCTGGCCAGGGCGGTTAAGTGTCTGTGGCCTGGCAGTCTGCACTGAAATATAGCCATTCTTCTCCTCTTCCTTCTTTATTGTACGAAGGCAGCCTTGTTCCCTTGACACCTGAGCTGAGCGGGCAGCATACCACTTGTGTGGAGGCATCATTGCTATCCAGAGTCACCCGGATGAACACAAATCTGTTGCTGTCACTGAATCACTGCTGAATCCTTGCGAATATCTTCACAGTACTGCAGTGTGTGGTGTTATTTGCTAGGTCATCAGAAGTCACTGGTAAAAGACTAAAATAACCAACACTGATGTTCAGAAGGGAACAGACAAGAAAATGATGTCCACATACATGATGGAGCTAGGTTCTCGAGGTCGGGATCACTTGGATATCTGAGAAGAGACATGTACATGAGCACCTGTGGACTGAGACCTAGAATGGTAAGCTAATGAACTATAATTAAGACAGTCATAGAGCTAGAAAACACAAGTACCCGATAAGAAAGGTCGAAGAGCATCTAAATAAGTAGAGACACACACCATGCTACAGTCACACACTGGGAGACATGGCATGAAGAGCTATGCTATCAATCCCTACCAAGCTGATGTTAAGTAGAGACACACACCACA